CATGTCCTTGTCCCTACCCTTCCACCCAGTGTAAATGCCTTGATACACAAAGGTAGCTATCCTGTTCAAGGCTGGTGCCGATCATGGTAACTCAAGAGAGGCCTCTGGCTTGGGGCAACACTGAGCAGAAGGGCACAGAAGCCTAAGAACTGATTTTGTTTATGTTTTTGAGACAAGGGCTTCACTGTTTAGCCTGGGCTGGCCTTGAACACAGAGAGATCTGTCTGCTTCTGCCTGCCCAGTGCTGGGTTTTAAAGCCCATGCTCCCATGCCCAGCCCTTCCCTTAGGACTGCCGTGGGAATGCTGCTCGCTGGTAGGGGAGACTGGAGGAGTGAAAGAGGTTCACAGCTTTGTTCTTGCTCACAACCCACCTTTTCCTCGGGTGTTTTCTGAGGCTGTGTGTGTGTCCACGCCCAAATGTATGCAGGATCTCCATTTCCTCTGTGTGTGTCCACTGGGGATCTCCCAGCGGGGAAGGAAGGCAGGGAGGTGTTCCCTCCTGGTCTGTCCTCCCAACTTTATAGTTTTTCCTCGAAAGTTGGAAGCAGAAGAGGCCCTCCTCCCACTCTATAGAGCCTGCCAGGCTTCCTGGCAGTGGAGCTTGTGGTCAGCAGGGTTCAGAGGCCTGACCCTGCCAGAGGACCAGATACACTGGTAACTGGGTGGTTCCAGGGGAGTGAGCAAGTACCTTGTGTCAGGGTGGCCCCAATTGTGGCTGGCATGGATCAGTCCTGGTTGGTATGGCCCAGGGCCAGCACTGTGTGGTGTGGGTCAGCCTCAGCTGGTTTGGGCCAGGTCGGTTCGATCCTGTTGTCAGCTCACGCTCTGATGAGTGGCCTGCTACTCCACAGTGTCCCGTGTGTCTGCTGCAGCCCAGCACACACCTCCTGCGGTCCAGCAGTTCCTCTCCTAGACAGATCTGCTCCTTTAGGGACCCTGCAACAACCACGGTGGCACTCCCCGTTACAGCCAGCCGGACAAGCAACTGTCCAGGAGCCCTTCAGCTCGACGGGGTAAACAAACTGTGAGACACGCACACATGGTAAGTGCAGAGCCTTGAGAGTGAACTCTGCAGCTAACTGTGATGGCATGGATGAGTCTGCCTGGCAAACGGCCGAGGACACACACGGCACAACCAGCTGCCATTGTACACACACGGACACGGATGGGTGAGGGGCTGGCTCTACCAAGGGAAGGTAGACCCATCCCTTGGTCTTGGCATAGCCACTTCCAAGGTGTAAAAATCACTATTAAAAATCATTGTGCAAAACACTTAAAACATAAAATTTGAATTTTTTTAAAATCTCATATTGCAGTGGCAAAGCACTTGCCATATAGTGTTGGAGAAGGCTGCTTGTCAGTTCCCCGGCCGCTCAGTCCCAAAACAATCACACGGAAACTGTGTTAATTAAATCACTGCTTGGCTGGCCCTTAGCTCTAGCTTCTTATTGGCTAACTCTTACACATTAATTTAACCAATTTCTATTAATCTGTGTATTGCCACGAGGCTGTGGCTTACTGGGAAAAATTTCGTCCGGCTCCATGGCTTCTCTCCGACTCCGCCTTCTCTCTCCCAGCATTCAGCTTAGTTTTCCCCACCTAGCTCTGTTCCCCTCTAGCCCTGCTATAGGCCAAGCAGTGTCTTTATTCATCAATGGTAATCACAGCACACAGAGGGAAATCCCACATCAGTGTAGTACAACTGATTGGCAGCCTGGTGGAGGTCTTCCTGCCTCATCTTCCAGTGCACACATAATGATCTATAGAAGGTTATTTACTTAGTTTTTATCTCTTATGTGTGTGTGGGAAGGGGAACACGAGAAACTCAAGAGGATAACCTGTAGGGGTTGCTTCTCCCTTTTCACGCTCTGGGATCCCAAGTGCACTCAGGTAACCTTGACCACAGCACCTTTTCGGAGCTTAGCCACCTCTACAGCTTTTTCCTCAGACAGGATCTCACTGCAGCCCTGGCTGTCCTGAACGCAGTATGTAGACCAGGCTGGCCTCAAACTCGCGTTCACCCGCCCTGGCCTCCTGGGTACCAGGAGACTAAAAGCACACCTCCACTCTCCTATGAACGGCCCTGGCTGGCCCAGAGCTCTCATCCCGCTGGAGCTCTTTGAGCATCACCATGCTTTTTTTTTTTTTTTTTAATTTTCCTTTTCTGGAGACAGAGTCTCTCTACATAGCTAGCCCTGGCTGTCTGTAACTCAGGGGACCCGCCTGCCTCCGCCTCCACACCAGCCCCAGTCACACTTTTGTTGAAGTCTGGGGTGCAAGCCCAGGGCCTTATACTGCAGGCTCTCCCTTTTCGGGGTACCCTGGTTTGGCCAGAAAGTTAGACAAGGCCTCATCTTTCTCTCTTGGGTCCTTCTTCCTGCTTTCTGTGTAGGGGGACAGTTGGACAGCATGCCATGCCCTCGGGGAACTGGCCCCAAACTAAATGGAGCCCTCTAGGCTCGCTCTTCCAGTAGTCTTAAGAATGAGCTTAAGAGCCTGCGGTCCTGGGACACAGCTGGGATCTCTGAAGGTCATTGCTCTGTCCTTGAGAAAATGTGGTAGATGACTGCCCAGACTACGAGCCCCTCCTTGCCCGCTGTGCCTGTTCCACCCACTCTCCCCATCCAAGGAAGGCCTGCTCAGGCCTTTACCACTTCTCAGGCGGCTTCCTGGGGCTCCCACGAAGTCTTCCGCACCCACAAGTCCAGACTTCCATAGCGCAGAGCTTCGTTCGCGTACTGTACCTCAAGAACTCGGAAGTCAGAACAGGTTTTTAACCTCATGGCCACCTCTGGCCCAGTGTCTCACCTGCCTTCTTTGTTTCGCTAGACTCGAAGTTGGATGGGACTTCTCATCCCATCTCCCCACCCGCCACTGTTCACTTAAATCTTTTTTTTTTAAAATATTTATTTATTAGGTATACAATATTCTGTTTGCGTGTATGTCTCCAGGCCAGAAGAGGGCACCAGACCTCATTACAGATGGTTGTGAGCCATCATGTGGTTGCTGGGAATTGAACTCAAGACCTTTGGAAGAACAGGCAATGCTCTTAACCACTGAGCCATCTCTCCAGCCCCTGTCTTAATACCGCGAAAGGAATGGAACCCAGGGCACGTGCAGGCGCAACCCAGGAAGCATGGAGGTGTGTGCATGGGCATCAGCGGGCAGAAATGTATTTCAGGGGTGGATAAGACAGAAGGGGGACAAATCACGGTATTTATTTGCCTAGCTATTTACTTTTACCTGCTTCCTCCTAGAGAGTATTCTCAACAGCCTACAAAAATGACACAAGATGGCGAGGAAATCAGGACGAAGAGAGATAAGCGGAAAAATAAGATGGCGCCAGTTTATTAGAAGTGGGCCAAGCAATTCGCCAAGTTTTCCCAAAGCCCACTCAGGAGAACTACCCCTTTTTTCTCTCCACAGGGGCCAGGCATTATACGTGAAGGAGTCGCTACCACGCCCCATTCCCACACTTTCCCTTCAACACATGGCAAGGTCCTAGTGGCCTAGGCTGCTGGCCACTACATGGGGAGACGCGCTGGTGGGAGCTGATAGCTTGCTCAACCACACCACGCTACGAGGGTCCCCGGAGCTCTCAACAACTTCGTGCCCCTCCAGCCAACTCTGCTGGCGGGGCACAAAGATGGAGGGCGCGGCGCGCTTCCACCCCGCCCTGCCCCCACAGCGGCTGCACACAAAGGGGCAGCCGCTCCTCCCCCAAACTGCCCGGGCGCCCTAGGCTCCCCTCCACCCGATGGCCCGCCCCGCCGAGTGGCACCCCGGGAGTAAGAGGGTCACCTGGACCTCGGTCCGGGATCCGCCCCGCCCGCGCCTACCGTGCCCGACCGCCGCGCCCCGCCCCCACCGAGCACGTGCTGCCCCGCGCCCGGGGCTCCATCCCACGGCCCGTGGGGGGCTGGGCGCGCCGCACTCCCCACCCCCCACCGGAAACATTCCTGAGACATTCCTGAAACTTGGAGGCCCGCCTCAACCCCCCCCCCATCCCAGCTCCCACTCCGCCTCCAGCCGGGCGCACGCTGGGCCCCGCGTCCCCCCCCCCCACCTCCACCGCCCGGGCGCCCCCCGAGAGGGCTGACCGCGGAGGAAGGGGAGCAGGGCTATGAGTCACAGTCGTGTGTCACTGGGCCGGCATTGCAATTCTCTGCATCACGAGAGGTGTGGAAAGGCCGCCTCGGGGACCGAGGTGGGGAGGTGCGTCCAGGGCCCGCGCCCGGCCCCGGCCTGCAGGGCGCGCCTCTCGGCCGGCGCCTGCTTCTTCGCGCGCCATCTTCCCACTTTGGCTTTCTCCTCGGGCCCGAGCAACAAGTCTTTTGTTGAGCCAGGCCCCCGGAGGCGGGAAACTAGAACCCCTGTCCTCAAGGCGCTTCCAGCAGGTACCCCTCGCCTTTGGAAGGCTGAGTCCCCGCGGTGGGATCACACCGGGGGCACCGCGTGCTCCCCAGGCGGCGCGCAGCAGGTCACCGCATGGCTCCTCCCTCCGGTGTACCTGCGAACGAGCCAATCGCTCGGCTCCCTCGAAGCCGGCACCTGGGTGGCGGCCGTTACTGGACTTAAACCGTCCGCGTTTGCTTTCAAAAGTTTCACGTTTGAACCTCACGACTGGTATTTGTACGGGGGCCGTGGGGCCAGGCGGGGACGCACGTGCCCTCTCCCGTCCGGCCAGAGGGAGAGGCCGTCGACGTGGGCTAGGGAGCGCGCGTGGACGACCCCCCAAGCTCCGCCGCGCGGGGCTCGAGGCCGCCAACGCCCCCTTATCGGTGTGTCCCTGGCACCCCACGGCGATGGCGGGGCCGCTGCCACCTTCGCCGGTCCCGCCCCCGCCCGCGCCGGGGAGTGTGAGAAACGAGGGCCGTCGGCGCGCGCCCCCGCACACGGCGCGCGCAGCCACGGCGGCGTCGGCAACCACAGGCGCGCGGCGGCAGCGGCGGCTGGCCGCCCTTTTAAATCCCCGGGCTCATTTGCATGGCCCCGCCCCCCGGTGACACGGCTGGCGCGGGCGGGCCCGTCCCCCCTGCCCCTGGGTCGCTCTTTTTAAGCTCCCCTGAGCCGGGGCTGCGCGTCTCTAATTGGGACTCCGAGTCGGGGCTATTTCTGGTGTTGGCGCGGCTCCAAGAAGGCGTGAGTTCGCCGCCGCTCGGGTGGCTTCTTTTTTTTTTTCCTCTAGGTCTAGAATCTAATCACATTATTATTTATTGAGGCCGCGCACGGGCCGTGCCCAGCTTCCTGCCCCTCGCCATCCTCCGGGGGAGCGGGATCCGTCCGTGGTCGCTCTCCCCAGCTCGGATGTGACACACATCCCCGGCGGGGGCCCGGGCGGCGCGCACGCAGCGGTCTCAGCGCCTCTGCCCTCTCTCCCGGTTTCAGATCCGCATTTGCGACCGGCGGCGGCGGCGGCAGCGGAGCAGCCCAGGCCGGTCCCCTGCGCCCAGCCCCGCCGCGCCCGGCAGCCCCGAGCGCGCCCCGCCGGCGGCCTGCCGAGCTCGCGGTGAGTGTCCGCGGCGCGCCCGGGGGGCCTGCGGTGCGCGCTGCCCGCTTTATTCCCAGGCCCCGGGCTTGCGCGGGCCGCGGGAAAGGGGAGGCCGCACTGTGCGCGCGGGCGGGCGGACGGGCGGCGGGGCCGGGGTGGGGGCTCCGCAGAGCGCGGCGTCCTTCGGTCCCCCAGGCCGAGGGCGTCCCGCGCGTGCCCGGGGGGTGCGGAGACCCCCGGGGACCGGCGCGCGGAGGGGGAGGGGGCGCGCGGCTGCGGCGAGCGCCGCTTGTGCACCCGGCGGCGCCCGTGCACCTCGCGCTCGGCGAGCCCGGCCTCGGGGAGGGGCGCGCTCTGCGCAGCGCAGCGGCAGGAGGTGGGCGCGCACCCCCCCTCAGCCGGGGAAGTTCTAGAAGTGCGGGGGAAGGGCCCGGTGCCCCGCGACGTCTCCCTGGCATTTCCTCGGCCTTTGCCAGGGTCGTGCTGTGCGTGGACGAGGCCGGATCGCGTGGGCCTGGGTTTCGGGGCTTCACCCACACACCTTTGGCCCTGCCCCGCGCCTCCTCAGCCCCCAGGGCCGGGCCTGCCCTCCGCCACTACAAACTGGTTCCTCTGCTTTGCTGGGTTCTGTTAGAACTAGTCCCTTTGACTCCCCGTTTCTGTTTGGTTCCCCCCCGCCTCTGAGGTTTTGGTTTTCGGGGAGGGAGGAGGGGGTTTTCTTCCTCCAACTCGCACCAGGTTTCCTGCCCCCGAGGCGGGCTTGGGTGCCCCCTCTGGCAGGAAGTGGGGCCGGGCGCACCCGCGTGGCGGTGCATGTGGTCGGGGTGCGCCGTTTCCCGCGCCTGCAGGGCCTGCGCCCCTCCCCCTCGCCCTAGCGCCTAGACTCGCCGGCCTACAACCGCCAGGCAGGGACACTGGCGGAGGAACGCTCAGTCTGGAGCAGAGGGCGCCAGGGTCTTAACCTGCTTCTCCTCAGTAAGCAGAGTTGCGGTCTGTGTAAGCATTCCGCCAGAACCTACTTCTTTTTTACCAAGTTGCTGTGTGACCTTGGGCCACTCCTGGGTCTTCTCTGAGCTATTTTAAAAAAAGAACAAGCTAACTATGGACCTGCCAGGAGTTATTCCTCTGGTTATTCCTGCCTAGTTGCCTGTCATCGAAGGGCCACTGTGTGTGCGGAGACAGGCTGGAGACTCACCAGAGCATATCGGGCTTGGACCCTAAATGTGGTTTCTGCACGCCAGGCCTCCCTGTGTGCAGGAGCAGGTGGAGATGAGTGGTTTCTTGGTCTCACTGAACGGGGACTCTGCTCCTAATTCAGTGGGGGCGTTGGGGGAGCAGGTGGTTCAAAGAGTCCCTAACGGTAATGATTGGGAAGGCACCGGGTGGTATAACAGTGTTCAGGAAGCCTGGCCGGGATCTGCAGGCAAGTTGGGCCCACAGGCTCTGTCTGGGATCGGGCCGGCTTTCTCCCATGACCCTCCCCCTCCCAAGGGCCTCGGGCAGACCTCAGTGTGAGGTCAGCACTCATTTAGCTGATTAATTTGATGTTTGGTTTGAAGGAGACCTGTGGTGCTATGTAAGATTCTAATCACGGCCTGTAATTAGGGAACAGACCCAGCCGCTAATGATGGAGCTGGCCCAGCCACCCTGTGTAAAGGGGTCTCAAGTTTGAAATATTGTAATCGAATAATTAGCAGAGTTCCACCATCTGGAGCGGCTCTTGATGCTTGAGAATTAGGAATCGTTAAGTGTTGTAAAAATCACAAGTTTCCAAAATGTTTTCCTGTCATTGAGTCAAAATTAGTAGTTGCCTCAGAAATCTGAAAAGACGTTGGGGGCACAGCTTCCGTGGTAAGCGAAGAAGCCTGGTCCCTTAGCACCACTGTGGGTAGCTCTGCAGGTAGCACTACTGCCCTGTCCCTGTCCCTGTCCCTCACTGAGGGCCACAGGCTGTGTTGGTCCCTGCAGAAGTATGGAGTGGGGTCTCCTGGGCCTGTGACTGAAACTTGGTCTTGACTGGAAGTCAGCTTGTGGCTGTCTTGTTTGACTGCTCTAGAGGGAGATCCCCAAGAACAGCGTGCAGGCCCTTTGTGGTACGCTCTCTCTCACGCGCACACACACACATATGGCGTTGTCCTGGACCTGGGGAATCAGGCCTTGCTACCCAGAGAGTCTTTTAATTGGCAGGGTCTATTTGAGAATCTGCCCTTCCCACTCCTCCATCCCTACCCGTTGCCACCGTCTCTGGGTCTTGGGTATGTGATGGGCTCTGGTATTTGTTCTGGTTCTCAGGCTTGGACCTGCGGGGTGGCTGCCCTGGCAGGATGGGGGGCGGCGGCTGTGAGGAACCACTTCAACTTGCCCCAGGCCGGCCTCGCCCCTCCAGCCAGGTCTGAGCTGGCCGCGCCTCTTGGGTGCCGCTCTGGCAGTCCCTGCGGTGTTCCTTGGGATGGTGAGCGGTGGGAGGAATAGTGGGGCACCTGTGTAACTGGCACCATTTTGTCTCCCAGCATCACAGCCAGTCCCCCTCACTGCCCCGTAGAGAAGAAAGATGAGCGAATCCAGCTCAAAGTCCAGCCAGCCCCTGGCCTCCAAGCAGGAGAAGGACGGGACTGAGAAGCGAGGCCGGGGCAGGCCGCGCAAGCAGCCTCCGGTGAGTCCTGGGACGGCGCTGGTAGGGAGTCAGGTGGGTGAGCAGAGCCTTGCTTTTGTTTCCTTTCTTGGGCTAGGGAGGTACCTGCACCCAGCAGGGTGTGACCCTCCTGGGAGGGTGCAGAATGTGTCTCCTTCTGTGTGCGTGCCTTTCCCGTCTGTGTGCTCACTGCCTTTAAGAACTGCCTGAGGAACTCAGTGTGGAGCGTCACCACATGGCAACCCACCCACAAGAGTGGAGGCAGGTGTGGGGCCCAGCTCTTCACTGGCCTGTTACTGTACACAGTTTTAAACACATAATCCATCTCTCGTCCAGTTGCTGCCAGGTTTCTCCATCCTACTGCCCATTTCTGTCCTTCCTGTGTCCGGTGGGAAAGGGTTCCTGGGCCACTGGGGGGGGTTGTTTGTAAGTGGACATTGAAACCCCGTGAGGTCCCCGGGAGGGTGGCAGCAGGATATTGGCTGTGCCACCTGTCTGGCTCTGCACTGGAGCTCTCAGCAGTCTCCCGAGTGAGGGGAGGCTGTTGGTGGCCCTGTGGGGGTGGGTGAGTCTCCAGAGAAGGGTGGGGGACTAGGCCTGTAAGCCCAGCACCCTCTGTTTTCCATCCCGATTACTGGACCTGGCGGTGGTCACTGGACCAAGGCTGGCCTTTGGTTTTGTGGTCCAGGATTGCCCCGTTCACTGTATACTCCTGGCTCAGATTCTTGAGTGCTGGTATTGATTATAATTGGGAGGGAGCCCCCATGCCTGACTTAAAACACAACCTTTATTCTGGTTTGGGCTGACCAGAGGTCAGGTCTGTGTGTGGCCTCTCTCCTGGAGAGGGGTTTCCCATGTAAGACAGGAGGGGTGGCAGCAGTTGTGGCCAGTGCTGGACACTGACTTTGCTGGGGATTTGACTCACCTGACGCCCTAGGTGTTAACACACCACCTTTTACAGGTGAGATCAGTAGCACAAGAGTTGATCAGGGCCACCTAGCAGTGGCTTCCCTGCCCCAGGGACATCTTTCCCAGAGGTCTTTGGTTTCTTATCTTTGGTCTACAACCTTCAGAGGCTGGGGGCCAGGAGCTTGATGAGGGTCAGGCAAATTTGGAGTCCCCAGGGCTTTGGCTGCTGCCACATCCCTGACTCCCACCTGTCTTTGCAGAAGGAGCCCAGTGAAGTGCCAACACCCAAGAGACCTCGGGGCCGACCAAAGGGAAGCAAAAATAAGGGTGCCACCAAGACACGGGTGAGACTCTCATGTGTTTATGCCAAGCGCATCTGTGGGTCGTTGTTAATTGTGGAAACTGCAGTGCCCAGGACAGTGGGGAAACCAAGTTAGGCCTGGAAAAAGGCAAGATAGTGAGAGTGAAGGCCTGTGCCAGCTCTGCGCTGGGACTTCACCCTCGTTCATCCTGAGGGCATGCACCGTGCAGGGAGTCGGTGCCACGGCCTTCCAGAGTCGCCTTTGTTTTTATTTTACTTTTTAGTGCGCGACTCATATCCTCTGAGTCACTTGTGGAAGGGGGAGTAGGGGTGTGTGTGTGTTGGATGTGGGGGCGTGGACTGGCCAGTCATCAGCCGCTGGCCAGGGTGGACCTGCTGGTGGTCCCGGACTGCTCCATGCCTGCCTCACCTGGGGCTTTATGGCAGTGAGGACTGTTCAGCACTCTGGACTGAGAGCTGTTTCTTCTCACTCTAGAAAACGGCTGCAGCTCCAGGGAGGAAACCGAGGGGCAGACCCAAGAAACTGGTAGGTTCTCATTCTTTGGGGACAGTGTTAAGAATGCCCCCAGTGTGGCCAGGGGTGTTTGATGAGCATACGTGAAACCTGTTAACATGAATTCAGGACTCTCTTCTGCTTGAGAAGATAATTCCTAATTTCAGGTACCCGGTGTGGGAGGCACGCTTTGTGCCCATGTACCCCTTTGTGGAAAGGCCAGGAAGTGAGGATCTGGACAGGGGACAGTGGGGGCCTATGCCTCCAGGATACTGTGTTCTTGGTCCTGTTTCCAAGCTACCCAAGGCATTCCTTGAGCTGAGCCACCCTTAGTGGAGGTGCTGGGGGGCCCTGCTGGCTAGACCCCAAGAATGAGTAACAGGAAATTAGTTGTTTTGGAGTTTGCCTGGCACTGTAGGGCCCTGTGGTGTCCCAACATTCCCTTCCAGTGAGTGAACCCCTGGGGCTCACTTCCTTCCCACCCTGGCTCACTGTCAGCCATTGGCTACCTCAGGCCTTCTTGGATGCAGCCGGCACCACACCTGCCCTAGGCCACCTAGTGGCTCCCCTCCTGTTACTGTCTCATGCCCTTCTGCCTCCTCCCTGGAGAGCTTGCCACTTCCTCAGCCCTCGGCTCAGCCTGGGCTAGGTGCCTGGTCTGGCCTGCGTGAGAGCTGCCTGGATGTGAGAGCAAGTGTGTGTGTGGGTTTTCCTCCCTTTAAATCCTTCATTTTTATGAATGAAAGCAGCGTGGAGGTTGCTGAGTCACCACACACTCAGCCCTGACTCATCCCCCTTCTGCAGAGGAGAGCCTGGGAGGGAGGGGTTGGCAAAGGAGAAGGGCCAGGCCCAGCGTTGTTCTGCCTCCTACAGGAGAAGGAGGAAGAGGAGGGCATCTCCCAGGAGTCCTCGGAGGAGGAGCAGTGACCACGCGCAGTGCCGCCTGCTCCTTGGCCACCACAGGAGCAGCTTCCCCTGGGACCGGAAGCCCTGCTTCCAGCCCCCTCCCCACCCTCACTGCACACTACCGCACCAGCTGCAGGCTCTGCGGCACCCACGGGAGCAGGGTTTGGCTCAGTCCCTGTGCCCTCCTTCCCAACACACCTGCCCTCTCCCGACAAGGCTAACTTCCCACTTAGCCGCAGCCTGCCCTGCTGTGCTCTACCCTGGAGATGTTGCTCTCTGGGCTCTTTCTTTTGCAGGTCCCTTCTGCTCTGCTGTTCCTGGCTTCCGTGTACAGGGTCCTGGGAGCATTCCCTGGCCTTAAAGGGCCCCAGCCCCATCTCAATTCAGACAAACCCCATTGGCTGACCTGGCCGCAGCAAGTGTGGTCGGTGCAGGGATACATAGATCCCAGCATGCCCCACCCCTCACCGAACTGTCACCAGGCGGGTTTCTCAGTCACTTTTGCCCCACCTTACCTAGACCCTGCATTAGGTTGGCTAGAGTCCCTTGGACTACAGGAAGTAGGACATGATGGGCCACCCACCTTGTTCTCACCTGGTACCCAATGCAGTGACAGATGGGGGTCACACCCATCTCCAGGGTGAGGTCCTATTCTCTGACATTCACCTAAGGCAGATGGGGCACTAACTCACCTCCCCCACTCTAGGCTGTTACCCTTCCTCCAGTGGGGCACCAAGGAGCTAGCCTTGCCCCCCTCCTTTTGCTCCTCCCTGCCCCCCAAGGTTCTGGTTCCATCTTCTCCTCTGTTCACAAACTACCTCTGGACAGTTGTGTTGTTTCTGTTCAATGTTCATTCTTAGACACCCACCTTTGCTGCTGCTACCAGCACCAAAAGTTCATCCTCCCGTTCTGCCTGCATTCTCCCCGAGACACTATAGGGGGAAGGGGGGCTGGGGTGCAGCAGGCTGGCTACCAACCACCCCACACCAGGGACGATGGGGCCCTGCCCCTTGGATGCTGCAGCAGAGTGAGGAGGGGGACCCATTTTGATGGGAAAGGGGTGTAGGACCACCTCCCCTCGTTCTGTGGGGGAGGGGTGGTCAGTATTTGTCCCGGCCTGGGGCTCCCCCTCTGATTTCCTATTTGCAGTTACTTGAATAAAAAAATAGCCTTTTCTGGACTGAGCTGCCAGTGTGTGAGATGGGTAAGCAGGGCATGAAGCAATCAAAGGGTAAAAGATGCTGCCCGCAGCCAGCCTGCCCCACACAGCGAGGGTAAAGTGAAGCCATCAAAGTTTATTTACAAAATATATACACCAGATACTATACATCTGGGCCTGTCACCATGGGAACAACTCCAGAGGCCTCTTGGATTGTGCCACAACAAGGTCCAAGCAGGCTAGAGAAGGCAAGGCTGTCACCCACTCCACAAGGAAAACAGGCTTGGCTTAGGGCCAGCTGTGGATAGCAAGTAAGAGGGGTGTGAACCGTCATGTCTTGATGTCCAGCAGGGGCATTCGCTTGTGCTGGTAGCTGCTCTGCCAGCCGAGCACCACCTGTGGAGAAGAGTGCAAGAGGCTCCAGCCACCCTGTGCCAAGCTTCTGGTAGTGGTACCTGACTTGTCTAGTGGGGGCAGGATGATGCTCTCACCTTGGGGTCGCCCACATCAGACAGCAGCTCCTGCTCCGCCTCGTGGAGCTCTTCTGCAGGGTCATAGCTGTACATGGGGAGCAGGTGATGGCGAAGCTGGTCCACCCTTGGGGAATGGGAGGGTAAGGCTCAACCTGGGCCCCTAACCCTGCTTCCCTCCCTCAAGCCAGAGATAACTGGGCCATTAAAGGGCCACCAATAACTAGCCAACGCCTGGAAAAGAGAAGCATTTCAGCTAGTGGGCATAGTGCCGGGGTTCGGGCACTCACCGCTTTTTCTTCTGCACGTACATTACCTGTAACAGAGACATAGGACTGTAGGAGCTGGGAGGTCAGCGTGTCCCTGCTGAGGGCCCACATCCACACCCTTGAAGGACAGCTGAGATGCTGTGGGCACCAAGCCAGGCCCACCCAGCGGCTGCCCTAGCCACGTCTGATGTGGGGGCTCCTTACCACAGCCACCACCACCCCGACCAGGGTGATGAGGAAGAAAGGCCCCAACACATAGCCCACCATGGAGTCGCTGTTGGCCTGGGGGGCATTGGGCACTGTCGTGTTACTCATGACATCAGTAGCCAGATAGCTGGGTGGTCTGCATGGGCAATGGTGGCCTCGGGAGGGCACCTCCCCTGGGCTCCCTGGGGAGGAGGAAGGGAGGTTACCATTTGTACCCTATGGTGGCAGGTTTGTATCCCTCCCCGAGAGCTGGAGTGGGAATCCATCCAGGAAAACTTGAGGCCAAACACTAGGATGTGACACCCAGATAACAGGGGCTCAGAACACCAAGGGTAGGCCCAGATCCCAGCCAGGCCGCCTGCTTCCTGCCCAGCGCTTACGCACACGTGAGGGTGTGGCCCAGCTCAGCCGCCTAAGCCTTTGTAGGTGTCAACTGCTGGGAGAAGGTTAGGTGCAGGGGCAAGGCTAGATAGAGGGAAGAGATACAAGAGGGCCCTGCACTGCAGAGAAGGGGTGAGGTGGGATCATGTGAAGGGGTCCTGGTTCCGTCCCCACACTACAAGCTAGGGCCTCCAGGCCTGGGTTCTGCACCCTCCTAGTGCCTGATGTAACCCTAGACACGGTCCTCAATGTGGGATGCTATGTAGAGGTGGACCCTATCTTCTAGATGATGTCACCTGCCTCTAGTACACCCGGGGCTCCTCCCATGTCTGCTCCCCTCCCAAGGCAGGGCTGACTGGCAGAGGTGGAGAGGACGGTCCCCATCGATAGAAAGGAGATCATCCTGGGGCGGTGGCACTAAAGATGGCCCAAGTTCCTATCCCAGTCTCAGAGAGGAAGAGATACAAGCTAATTGCCCCCTGTCCGTGGGCCAGTTTTGCCAGTTCCCAGTCGCGAGCTTCCCGTCCTCAGGTCAAGGGGGCCAGAACCCGAAGGGTTTGAGGCCGCTCTTAGGATGCTGCTGGCCCGCCACAGCGGGCAGAAGGTGGCTCCCTCGGTGCGGGGAGGCTCGGGGATCAGGGCGGGGAAGGGAAGCTGGGGCATGCCGAGGGGTCGCAGCCCCCGTGGGCGCCGTGGAACCCCGGCATCTCGATGCTAGGTGCTGGCGCGATGCAGCCCATCCAGCCCGGCCATGCCTTACCTCCCGCCGAGCAGCTCTGACAGCAACACCGTGGGTTGGCTCTGGCCCCGGAAGAGCCCTCCGGCGCGTGATCAAAGGACCCGGAGAGGAGGCGGGGCCTCGGCGCCGGAGTCCTTCACACTGGCCAATCCAGAGGCGGGTGGGCGGGCCTGCCGTGTCCACGCCGCGGCGGCAGGGGGCGGCAAAGGGCCGCACAGTGGGAAGGTGGCCGGGCGGCGTGATTTCCCGGCTGCACCGCAGAATCCGGGGAACTGGGAGCTGGCGTGCAGGGCTGTACCCGGGTGTGGAGCCGAGGCCCTCCCTGCTTTCTGTCCCCATGTCTGCAAGCAGGTTGTAGTGAAGCGGAAATACGTGGGACACCCTACGACCCGAATGTCAAGCTCCTCTGAGCTTCCCGCTGAGCAGGGGGGAAACACAGGTAGAGCCCCCCGAAACTCGGGGTGCCACTTACTTGTTTGGGTCACGGGCAACTTGGTAAGATCTGGTCCAAACTGTCACGTCCTGATCAGTAAAGTTGCTCAGACTGGAGAAATCTGAGTAAAACTAAGTTTCAGCTGGAGAGATGGCTCAAGGGTTAAGAGCTTTTACTGATCTTGCAGAGGTCTTGCTAGGTTCTCAGCACCCAAGAGATAGATACACACATCCATTTCCAGAGAATCCAACGCCCTCTTCTGACCCCCACGAACAAGCAGGTGGTACAGGCAAAACACATATAAATCTTTAAAAATTTGATGGCATTCACAATTTGGTCTGTTTGTGGCAAAGTCTCACTAAGTATCGTCCCTGACTGGCGTGGAACTCGCTATGAAGCTCAGGACAACCATGTGAGCCTCCTGGGTGCTGGGTGGGCATGTGTCACCATGCCCAGGGAGACAGCACTCCCAGCACTCAGGAGGCAAAGGCAGGTGGATCTCTGTGAGGCCAGCCTGGGCTCTGTGATTGGACAGGCTCCAAAGCTACACATAGAAACCCTGCCTTGAAAAAAACAAACAAACAAACAATATCTGGAGGAGCCAGGTATGTTGGCACACATATTAAGTCCCCAGCTTTCAGGAAGCAGAGGCAGGCAGATCTCTGTGAGTTCAAAGCCAGGTTGGTGTATATAGGGTTCCAGGACAGCCAGGGCTACATTGAGAAACCCTGTCTCAAACAAGTAAACAAAACAAAACAAACAAAAAAATTAGAGATATTGCAAAGAAGCAGGAAAATAAACCAGTTTATAATAATAATAATAAATATTTTTAACTGAAAACTGCCCAGAACTGATACAGGAGCATCACAAATTAGAACTGTGGAGGGTTAGAGAGATGGCTCAGTGGTTAAGAGCACTGACTGCTCTTCCAGAGGCCCTGAGTTCAATTCCCAGCAACCACATGGTGACTCATAATTTGTAATGGGATCCGGTGCTCTCTTCTGGCCTGCAGGCATACATGCAGGCAGAACACTGTATACATAATAAATAAATAAATATTAAAATAATAATAATAATAAAACTGTGTTTCATCTTTGAAAAATTAAGACAAAGGTTGAAGAAAACAGGTTTTTCAAGACAGGTCTTAGCCTGCAGAACAGGCTGTGTCTTAGCCAGGCACAGGCTGTGTAGCTGCTAGCTGCCCATGGCAGCACTGGGCGACTACACACGGTACAAAATATTCTAACAGCAATAAAGCCAGGCCTGGTGGCGCCTGTCTTTAATCCCAGCCCCCAAGAGGCAGAGGCAGGCAGATCTCTGAGTTTGAGGCCAAACTGGTCTACAGAGTGAGTTCTAAGACAACCGGGACTACATAGAAAGAGCCTGTCTCATAAAGAAAAGGATAAAGAATAAAAAGAAAAAAAATAGGCTAGAGAGATGGTTCAGCTGCTAAAGGGCATACACAGCTCCTGCAGAGGACCCAGGATCTGCGTGTGGCTCATGTCACCTGTCACTCAGCTCCACAGGCAGCCTGATACCCACTATTCTTTTGAGTGTGTGTGTAGGCCAGAGAACCTCTGGTGAAGGTCTTTAGGAGTCTTGTTTTTGTTGTTGTTTTTGGTTTTTCGAGACAGGGTTTCTCTGTGTAGCTTTGGCTGTCCTGGAACTCACTCTATAGACCAGGCTGGTCTCCAGAGTGCTGGGATTAAAGGTGTGCACTCCACTCCTGGCAGAGCCCTGCTCTTTTAAACAGGCTCTCTTGCTGGCCTGGAGCTCACCAAGCAGATTGGACTGGTTGACAGTGAGCACCAGGGACCCATTTTCCTCTGCTCAGACAGAAGGATGGACAGCAGACGGATGTTTACACAGAGGCTAGAGATGGGACTCAGGTCTCCATGCCTGTGCAGAGAGTACTGACTGAGCCATCTCCCCGTCCCTATTTTTGTTTTAAAATTATTGTTATTTATAACTGGGTCTTCCTGTGTAGCCCAGGCCATCTGTGAATTGATACCATCCTGTCTCAGCTTCTCAAGCACTGGGATTACAGGCCTGCCACACCATGCCTCGCTAGGTGTCTTTGTTGTTATTGGTTTTTTCTGTTTGAGACTAGGATCGCACATAGCCCAGGCTAGCCTCAAACTCAGTGTGTAGACAAAGATGGCCTTGAACACCTGATCCTCCTGAATGAGTTCCCAGTGCTGCATCCGTGTCTGGCTGGCTGCCCCTTCATTCTGTCGTTGGTTGTTGTAGAGTTTAGAGCTAAGATGACAAAACACTGAGCACTCTGTGGCCCTGCTGGGGAAGAGCATGGTCTAGACACAAGGGTTGGTTCAGGTCTTTACCCCTTTGGGTAGAGGGTTGGTGGGCTGAGGCAGATGGGCCATGGCTTGGCCTCTGTTTCAGACCTCTGCTTTTGGTCATCGGGTCATCTACCTACCCCTGGGCTTGTAGCCACGTTGCCCTGGTTCCTCCAGATAAGGAGGCTGAATGTCTATGTAGTGTCCTCACCCCCAACCCTGCTCCACCCTGCCAGCCTCTTATTCCATAGGTCTCCTCCCTTCTCCCAGAGCCGCAAAGGCAGCTTGTCTCACACCAAGGTGCTGGAAGAGCCGTGTGTGTGTGTGTGTGTGTGTGTGTGTGTGTGTGTATGCGCGCGCATGCACCAGTTGCCAGATACACATTCCATCTACTGTGTCTTCAGGATATCATTTGGTGCCCGCTTGCTGGTGGTGGCGCGCACCTTTAATCCCAGGACTCTGGGAGGCAGAGGCAGGTGGATTTCTGAGTTTGAGGCCAGCCTGGTATATAGAACGAGTTTCAGGACAGCCAGTACTGTTACACAGAGAAACCCTGTCTCAGGGAAATAAAAGAAAAAGAAAACAGAAAACCAACGCCATTTCCTTTGTTTTCTCTAGCCCACATTTCCCAGGAGGCCACTTTGAGCCGTTCAGCTACGGGGAGACTCTATTCTCTGAAAGCACCTACAGAACAGGGTCACGTCCAAGGGGACACAGTCCAGTTTAAAGGCAAAGCTCTGAGATCATTCCCAAAGTGGGGCACAGGACATGTGAACAGGGAGCACTGTGGTGCGGCCTAATGCGCTTGGAGAAAGTTCCAGGACACAGCAACGACAACAGCAGGCAGGCCAACCCATTAAAAGGTACTGAGGGGAACGTCACCCTCAAAGATCCACCGGGAAAAGAGGCAGAAGTGTTACCCTGGCCACCAGGGGGGTGGGGTAAGGAGCAGTGAGGTCAGAGGCCAGACAAGGGGTTGCTGGACAGGGCTGGGATCTACAGTTGCTGACTTGACGGTAAGGATGAGATGAGTGACAGGCTGGCTCAGCCCTGCTTGTCACCTAACATTCATTCTTAGCTGCTTTTCTTTTTGGGGTGCGCATGTACGTACGTTGTGAGATGGGATCTTGTTTCTTAGCCCATACTAACCTGCAATTCTCTGTCGATCAGGCTGGCCTCAAACTTGAGACCCTTCTGGCTCTGCCCCCTGAGTGCTAGGGTTACAGCCCTAAGTACTACACCTGGATACTTATGCCTTGCCCCTAACCTTGTCACATCTGAGAAGGTGACATGTGACAGCCACCTCGGTGGCTGCTGAATGCTGGATGGTATCTCTGCAGACACTTGTCAAGGCCGGGGTGTGACTGGTGCCTGCTCAGGTGGATCTGGACTGTCCTCCAGGGCCTAGGTGCTAAAGGCTTGAGCAGGGGCTCCGCACCGCTAGATGGTGGAGGATTGTCATGGGCTTCATAGCCAGCCGGAGGCTAGTGTGGACTCCAAAGTGAGACCCTGTCTGCAAACTAAAGCTTCTGAAAGGATGACTGAAGTTAACTTTCTCATTTGACGTTGTCAGAGGTTTGTTACAGCAGTGGACGGATAGCCAACTGCCCCACCTGTCGACGGAGATCCCAGGGGGTGCATGACAATGAGACCGAGTCCCAGTCCTTGCTCACCACCTTCTGACAGCAGTCTTTGTTTGTCTGGGCATCTTAGAGCCAGGAGTATTGCCCAGGGGTGACGAGCAGGCAGCAGGCTCAGGTGTCAGACTCCCCACCTGGGATATTTCTCTATTGCGTATTTACTTAGATATGGTCTCACTATGTAGCCCTGGCTGACCTGGAGCTACCCATGTAGACCAGACTGACTCCAGATTTACAGAGATCCATCTGCCTTAGCCTCCTGTGTGCTGGCATTAAAGATGCCCGCCACCATGCCCAGCCCTATGGTAAGTGTTGGTGAGAGGCCAGAGCTCCCCTGCACTCCTTTCCCTGAGCACTTTGAAATGTCTTAGCTGTTCTTGGAGCACTACCGTATCCCAGTTCCTTTCTGGCTGCCGGCTTCCCTGGGCTCCATCCCACACCGCGCTGTGCCTTGTGCATCACAGGGCTGCATGAACTGAGCGTGAGCAGGGTCTAGAGCCCTGAGGGCTCTGCTGCGGAGGGGCAGTGGTGCAGCACCCACAGCAGTCCTAGCTGCCCCCCCCCCCCACTGCCAGGCCACTGATGCCAGCTTACTTTCCCCACAGCATTGCCTACCACTGCCACCCTGCTCCAGAATGAGCAACTCACTGGCAGCAAGCACAGCCCAGGCAGAGGTGTTCCTTCAGCCTGGGCTAGCGCATCATCATAAACCCTCAGGTGATGTCTCTCCTGTGGGAAGGATCCACT